GCACAAAAGAAGCTTCAACAAATTTAAGAGTATAGAAATTATTTCAAGTATCTTTTCTGACCACAATGGCATGAAACCAGAATTCAACCACAGAAAAAGAAATGAGAAAAAAGAAGTTCTATGGAAACTAAACAATATGCTATTTAAAAACCGACAGGTCAACAATTAAAGAAGAAATTAAAAAAAAAATAACTTGAGGCAAGTGACAATGAAAACACAACTATACAAAATCTATGGGGTGCAGCAAAAGCAGTTCTTAGAGTGAATTTCATATCAATACAGAACTTTAAGAAACAAGAAAAATCTCAAACAACCTAATCCACCACCTAAAAGAACTAGTTAAAGAAGAACAAACAAAACTTAAAGTCAGCAGAAGGAAGGAAATAATAAACATCAGAAAGGAAATAGAGATTAAAAAGCAATAGAAAAAAATCAATAGAAACCAAAGAGCTGGTTCTTTGAAAGGTTAAACAAAACTGACAAATATCTGGCCAGGGTCACCAAGAAGAAAAGAGAGAAGATTCAAATAGTGAAAATAAGAAAGACAAAAATACTATAAGAGAACATTTATATGTCAATTATATGAACACTATATGTCAACAAATTTGGCAACCTAGAAGAAATGGACAACTTTCTAGAAACACACAGCCCACCAAAACTGAATCAAGAGGAAATAGGTGACTTGAAAAGACCAATCACTAGAAGTGAAATAGAATCTGTAATTTAAAAAAAAAAAACAAACCTCCCTACAAGAAAGTCCAGGGCCAGATGGTTTCACAGTGAGTTTTACCAAACATGCAAGGAAGAACTTACATAGATCCTTCTCAAACTGCCAAAAGATCGAAGAGGAAGGAACACTCCAAAGACATTCTAGGAAGTCACCATCACCTGATACCAAAACCAGACAAAGGTAGTACAAAAAGAAAATTATAAGCCAATATCTTTGATGAATATAAATGCAAAAATTCTCAATAACATATTAGCAAACCAGATCCAGTAATACATAAAAAAGACCATATACCACAACAAAGTTGGGTTCATCCAAGGATTAAATCATACAAGGATGGTTCACCATATGCAAATGAATCAATGTGATACACTACACAGCAAAAGGAAAGATAAAAACCACATAATCATCTCAATAGATGAAAAAAAGCATTCAATGAAATTAAATATCCAGTCATGATAAAAATTCTTACCAAAGTGGGTACAGAGGGAACATATTTCAACATAATAAAAGCTATTTACGACAAACCCATGGCTAGTACTATACTCAAAAGTGAAAACCTGAAAGCATTCCCACTAAATTCTAGAAGACAAGGATTCCTATTCTCACTACTTCTATTCAACACAGTATTGGACATCCTGGCCAGAGCAATCAGACAAGGAAAAGAATTAAAATTCAAACTGGTGCTTGTGAAGTCACTTCAGTCATGTCTGACTCTGTGCGACTCTATGGACTGTAGTCTGCTGGGCTCCTCTGTCCATGGGATTCTCCAGGCTAGAATACTGGAGTGGGTTGCCATTTCCTCCTCCAGGGAATCTTCCTGACCCAGGGATCGAATCTGCATCTCTCACATCTTGGTGTTGGCAGGTGGGTTCTTTACCACTAGTGCCACCTGGGAAGCCCATTTCAAATTGGTAAGGGAGGGATAAAATTGTCATTATATGCAGATGGCATGATACTATATACAGAAAACCCTAAAGACCACACAAAACAAGACTGGAATTGATAAACAAATTCAGTAAGGTAGCAGGACACCGGAATCAGTTGCATTTCTTTAAACAGACAATGAAATATCAGAGAAGGGAATGTAAACAGTCCCTTTGAAAGTCACATCCAAAAGCAAAAAAATGCTTAGAAATAACCTCATCAAGAAAGTGAAAGACTTATATGCTGAGAACTACAAAACATTAGTGAAGGAGACTGAAGATGATTCAAAAAACTGCAAAGTTATCCCATACTCTTGGTTTAGAAGAATTAATATGGTTAGAATGGCTATACTTCCCAAGTGCAATCCACAGATCCAATCTGATCTCTATCAAATTACCCAAGACATTTTTCACAGTGCAAGAACAAATAGTTCTAAAATTTATTTGGAACCATAAAAGATTCAGAATTGCCAAAGCAATCCTAAGGAAAAAGAACAAAGCAGGAGGCATAGCCCTTCTAGACTTCAGACAATACTAAAAAGCTACAGTAATCAAAGCAGTGTGAGACTGGCACAAACACAGACACGTGGATCAAGGGAGAATAGAGAGCCCAGAAATAGACTGCACACCTGCAGATAATTAATCTTTGATAAGGGAGGCAAGACTATAAAATGGGGAAAGACAGTCTCTTCAGCAAGTGGTGTTGGAGAAATGGAACAACCAGCGCATGTAAATCTGTGAAGTTAGGACACACCCTCAGATCATCCACAAAAAAAAACTCAAAATGGCTTACTGACTTAAAACTGTAAGACACGACATAACAAAACTCCTAGAAGAGAATATAGGCAAAACATTCTCTGAATAAATCATACCAATGTTTTCTGAGGTGTCCCCAGGCAAAAATAAACAAATAAGACCTAATCAAATTTAAAAGTTTTTGCATAGCAAAGAATACCATAAACAATAGGAAAAGACAACCCAGGTACAAACTGGGAGAAAATATTTGCAAATGCTGCGACCAACAAGGGCTTCATTTCCAAAACATACAAAGAGCTCACACAACTCAATAACTACAACAACAACAAAAAAACCCAGGGACTTCCCTGGTGGTCTGGTAGTTAAGAATCTGCCTGCCAATGCACAGGACGTAGGTTCCACCCTTGGTCTGGGAAGATCCCAAGTGCCTCAGAGCAACTGGGCCCGTGACCCACAGCTACTGAGGCCGCGTGCTGCAATTGCTGCAAAGCTTCCCCCAACTCAGTATGTCTGAAGAAAATGGCCCATTGGCTATCTCAGTTAGTTAGAAATCTGTTTCTCTCATGTATACCCTTTAATTCTTCCAGTCTGATGACGGCTATTTATCCAGCTCTACATCTGTAATCTCCTCAATATCAGTCTAAGCTAACTGGGAACTCAAAAAAGTTGCATTGTCCAGGAGGCAGATTAGTTCCCAGTGTCACTAGATATAAAAAGGAGTCATGGAAGGCGTGCTACAAATGAATAAACCAAGATATCATAAGTAAAACTGGAAAAATGCACCAAGTCATCTTAGAGAATTCTGGGAAATATCTGGTATAAGACACAAGAAGACTATGCCTCAAAAACTACGTCAATAAATAAGTGACATAATATGACACAGCTTTAATGGTGTTCCACCCCAGAAAATGCATTCCTGTTCTCTCATCCTCCCATTCTGACCTATGAACCTCGGTTTCTAAGCTAGGAATCTCCTCTTCAGCAGACAGAAAAGCTTAATGTTCTCATTCTTACTGAGTTCCAAGGCAGTTCTCCCTAAAGGCCTGACTCAAACCTTTTAAGAATCAGAAGGAATGTAATCCACGAGGTCTACAGGCCTGGCTGGCATAGACACAGCTGTACCAGCACCATCAGCTAGTAAGAGCTTAACAGTAGACGTTGCTCTGGAATTTCGTTTTCTCTTAGGTACTGTGAGTAAAAATGGGAGCGGGAGCTGAGTGAGTCCATGCTAAGAGCTGAGGTGCTGCTGAGCAGAGGTCATGGAGAGAAACCTTAAGTACCAACTACTGATATGCCCGCGAAGCCACTGCTCAGCCCTGGGAGGGTGGCAGCTCTTCGCAGGGACTGACCATGCCCACATTCCTGGGGGCTGCTTGGCTGGCGAGGACAAGGCTGCCATGGTGTTCCCTCCGTAGGAGGGGTAGTCTGGTAGAGCAGAAAGGGCGTGTGCTTAGGGGCAGAAAATCCAGGCTCTGCTACTTGGTGGCTATGTGGCCCAGGACAAAGTCTTTGACCTCTCTGACCCTCAGATTTTTCATCTATAACACAGAGATAGCGACACTGATCTTGCCAGGGCTATTATGAGGATTAAATGAAATAATTCACCTGATACGGCAGCAGCACTCACTCAGTGACAAGATGACCTAGTCAGATCCCTTTGCTGCTTGCTACTCAGCCAGAGTTACTTTCCAAAGCAGAAATCTGACTTCTCTACTTAGAGCATTTCGGTGGCTTCCCTTGGTAAATAGAAAGAACAAAGTCCTGATGATCTGAGAAGTCCTGCATGTCCTGGTCCTGTCCACCTCTCTCCTCCATTCTCCTGTGCCCTAGACATGCGGGCCCTCTTTATGCCCTCAAAAGTGTAATCCTTCCTATCCTGAAGCCTTCACACAGGCTCAAAGCATCTTCATGTATCTCATCTATCTGGTTAACAACTTCTGATAACTTCTTTGGGAAAAATATTCCTCAACCTCCAGACTAGGTCAGGTCTCCTGACAATGTTCCCTTAACCTCTCTTTCACAGAGCTTGATCTGCTTTGTAATTATACTTGGGATGACTTAAACTATGTCTCAGACAAGATCAAGAGGTAGGAAACTGTGTTCTTTATTGATTACCCCGAATCTCTAGGGCTCAACATCAAGCACAATGCCTGGCCCATTTTATGAGATTAAATCTTTTACTGAATAAATGAATGAATGAAAGTTCAGAGGAGGGTTGGAAAGCACTCGCTATTAATCGGGTTAGTACTTCTCTGCAACACTTAACCACGTTCTGCACAGCATGCTTATTAATATTTAATTCCTTCTTTCCTAGGTGGATTTTCAGCTTTGTTGTGTACATATACAACTTCAAATGTTCCACTGCCTCCTTAGGACAGGCTCAGAGGAGATGCTCCATGTTGGAGAGATGTCATGGAATGGAAGGGAGTGTTAAAAGCCCTGGACAGAAACAGAGAGAAAGATGAACTCTAACTTGAAGGTGGCTGTGGCCTGAGATAAGAAAAAGTCTCTTGTCCACTCTTTCCTTCTCCGGGGCATTTAAGTTGACCACTCATTGTTGGGAGGTGAGGATTCAACAGGGTGACACTTACTTGTTCCCATGAAGAAATCATATGACGTTCAGCAGGTAGTTTTTCTATGATGGTCACCTCTGTCACACCTGGGGATGATTCTGGAAGAGGAAGCAGAGAGTAGAGTAGTTGGTCCATTCTCACATATTTCTACCAGAAAGGGTGATGAACTGTTGAAGTCTGCTCTAGGAATACCAGATCCCTCTGAGGAGCATTTGTTACTCCTGTAATAAAAGCAGCTGGTCCCTCAAAAGCAGTCGGTCCCATAAGCTAAGACCATGTAGTCTTCTAGTGATAATTATGCCAGTATCCTTTTCACATATCAAAGTTTTCCTCAAGTTTTCAGAAGAGTCAAATCTTGGGATGCAGCATCAGCCCAATACACTAGCTAAGAAATCGGGACTCCACCATCCTAGTCATGCTTTATGCACTCACCAGCTGTGTGGCCTTAGAGGAGTGCTCACTTCCTTCTGCACTCAGTAAGACAAGAATTACAACAATACTTTCCTCAATAAGTGAAGTAAAAACAGCAATGAAGAAACAGAAGAGGACACGGAAATGAAGATTCTTTGGAAAAGTAAAAAGCACCATATACACAATTTTTCTTCTGCCTCCTATTCAAGGATCTTTCTAACGTGTTGGGAAGCACAGTACTGTGGTAGAAAACCAGTGAGCTTCAAGCCATTTGACCTGGGGTGAGTCCTTGCTATGAACCCTGACTGGTTAGGATGGAAGACACTGTTTTATCCCTTTAAGGGTGGCCTCATTTGGCACTGTTCCACCAAAACTAAGACAGTAGATAATAAATACCATTATCAATTTTACAGCAAGGACACTGAGGTTGAGAGGTTAAACCACAAAGCCAATCCTCTGACTCCAAGCATGGGTCTAGTTGAAAAATGAAGAATATGTTCAAAAGTCACTACATGCCCCCTGGCATAGCCCGTTACAACAATCATCCTACGCAAATGCAGAGTCTAGCTTTAATTAGTCTTGACAACCCACCACCCACCTGCAATAGGACTGAAGAATACAGAATTCTTGGCCTACAACACAGCTGGTTACTAGGGATGTCATCTGACTATACTCAGCGTGATCTAAGGCCTAGGGCTACAAGAAGACACACACATAATGTAAGTACCTGACATTAAGTTTTGCTGAGGCATCCATTTCAAATACATTCATCTTGAATAAACAAATTGCCAGTTGTATGACACAGTTACTAACTAAACAACTAGATGAGGAATAAGGCCACCCCCCACTCACAAAGTTCCCCTTTTAGAAAGCCCTAGGTAACCTGGATAACTGACTACTTGAATGAGCCACCTTTTCCCTTCAGGTGTCCTAATTCCCCCTCTTAAGTTTTAAATCCACCAATAAAGTGTAAACCTGCAGAACCCTAGACACCCAACTCTGGGGCCCTAACAAAGGCAAAGACCCAGGTCTGCTCACTCACTCCCAGCTATCTGGCTGTGGGCATACCATGTACCCTCCAGGACCTGTGTATAATAAAAAAAATTTTTTTTCAAGATTCCCCCGTGATTGCTGCTGCGGTGTATCTTGAGTCATAACAAAAGCCACAATGTTTGGTCCAATCACATCAGCTTCAGTCCAGGAAATGTCTGTGGGGCTCGTCCAAGTAGTACAGGCCTAGGTGAGCGCCTCAGGTATTCCCAGCCAACAGCAACAGTATCAGTAAGTAGGCTGAGGGAGACACAAACACACCACTCTTCAGCTTCTAACAGACCTATGTGGAAGGGCCACAGGCTCAGACAGAACTGCTGTGATGTAACACAGATGACAACATATCATTTTTAATCTTTGCACATCTCCAGGATAGGACAACATACTGACTTTAAAAACTTTCATATAACAAGTTGCTTAGGAAGTACCCACTGCAGAGACTCTGCTATCCAGTACTTCAGCACTGATGAGGAGGAGGTATGGGGGTGAGGAAGACAGGGACACACAATAAATTCTACCTCTATAATGCTGTATTTCTGGGAACTGGTGTAAGTTATCTCACTGACTCAACAATCGTGTGAAGCAGGCATCATTACTTTGTTTTAAAGATAAGGAAACAGGTTTGGTGATATTAAATTAATCATTTCACAGAATTCAATCTCTGATCACAGGTGCAGGTACCAAGCCTACTGTTTTCTCTACTGTATTGCCTGAGTAGTTAATTCCAACATGAGGGAAAGTTTTCTTCACACCACCAAGCAATTCTCAGAAGGCAGCTGAATGTTCTACAATTCAACGCAATCCTGACTCTACCAGGAGAAAGCCTCAGATCCCACAGGTTAAGAGCTCATTCCCACAAGCCTGCCCTTACTCTGGATGCTAACTGTAGGTCTAGGTTGTTATCTGTGCTTCTGACGGACTGGCTATAAATCAGGAGTTCTTATGATCTTTCCCTTGGGTTTGATGAGTTTGATACAGGGGCTCACAGAACTCAGGAAACCCATTTACTCACTGGTATACTGGTTTATTTTGAAGGCTACTGCAGATCAACAGGGAATAAGATATGTAGAGCTGGGTCCTGAACAAAGGGGCTTCTGTCCTTGTCGAGTTTGGGGCCTGGCACAGTTGCATGAGCAAGTGTCTGGTTAACAGACTGGAAGCTCCCTGCACTCTTTCCTTCTGGTTTTTTATGGAGGCTTCATTACACAAGCATGCTTGACTAAATAACTGGCCATTGGCAAATGACTCAACCTCCAGACTCTCTCTCCTCCAGGTAAATCAGGTGGGGGAGTGAAAGTTCCAACCCTCTAATCCTGGTTGGTTCCCTTGGGAACTGGCCCCATCTTTAGGTTACACGAGGGCTTTCCAAAAGTCACCTCATTAACAAAAGGCACCTTCTTTTATCACTTAGGAAATTCCAGGGGTTTTAGGAACTCTGTGCCTGAAGCAGTGACAAAGTCTAAATATATATTATAAAACATAATACCACAGATAACCAAAACATCATAAGGATATTTAGGAATAATAGCAATAACAAGTTGTGTTTGGTTTATTATTAATAATATGTGACATGAGAAGTAGTATCTGACCCAGTTCAGATGCTCAGTTGTGTCTGACTCTTTGCTTCCCTGTCTGTCACCAACTCCTGGAGCTTACTCAAACTCATGTTCATTGAGTTGGCGATGCCTTCCAACCATCTTATCCTCTGTCATTCCCTTCTCCTCCTGCCTTCATTCTTCCAAGCATCAGGGTCTTTTCCAATGAGTCAGTTCTTTGCATCAGATGGCCAAAGTATTGGAGCTTCAGCTTTAGCATCAGTCCTTCCAATGAATATCAGGAATGATTTCCTTTAGGATGGACTGGTTGGATCTCCTTGCAGTCCAAGGGACTCTCAAGAGTCTTCTCCAACACCACCATTCAAAAGCATCAATTCTTCGGCACTCAGCTGTCTTTTTGGTCCAACTCTCACATCCATACATGACTACTGGAAAAACCATAGCTTTGACTATACACACCTTTGTCAGGAAAGTAATGTCTCTGCTTTTTAATATGCTGTCTAGGTTTGTCATAGCTTTTCTTCCAAGGAGCAAGCATCTTTTAATTTCATGGCTGCAATCACCATCTGCAGTGATTTTGGGGCCCAGGAAAATAAAGTCTGTCACTCTTTCCATTGTTTCCCCATCTATTTGCCATGAAGTGATGGGACCAGATGCCATGATTTTAGTTTTTTGAATGTTGAGTTTTAATCCAGCCTTTTCACTCTCCTCTTTCACTTTCACCAAGAGGCTTTTTAGTTCCTCTTTGCTTTCTGCCATAAGGGTGGTGTCATCTGCAGAGTCCCCAAGATGATAGCTAACAGCAAATGATGTTGGATTCGTGATCTCCAAAGAAGAAGATTTAGCTTCAGGATCAGGTACCAGGCTTGATCACTCAAAGCTTTTGTGTGGCACAAGTTTTATTATAGTGAAAAAGGACAGAAAAAGCTTCTGACATAGACATCAGAAGGGGGAGGGAGACTGTTCCACTCAGGTTCTTGTTAAGAAGAAAAAAATGTCCTTGAGCAAGATGCACTGTTATTATATAATCATGAGTACAGAGCTTAAGGAAAAACATACCCTTGAGCAAGATGAGTTTTGTTGTGTAATCATTAGAGCTCTGGACTTAAAGAAAATAATGTCTTATGTGACTAAGACAAAACAATGTAGAAAAAAAAGTTCGTCCTTTTCTCCTTGAGAGCCCCATACCCCTTTCTTCTTTTCGAGGGCCCTGGACTCTTTATCAACCTACATAAGAATTAACTCTCTCATTCCCCCCTTCTTTTTCTAGAAGAACATGGCTGCCAAGGGAAAAGGGGTATTGCTCTCATTCTGCAGCTACTTCCTGCTGGCCAGGGGCACAGCCCCTAAATTGTTCTGGCAGCATATTCTCCTTACCCTCATATTGAGGGTCTCTTATCCAGGGACCCCAAGTATAGTTGGAGGAGGTTGTGGCATTCATAGGAGCTTAACAACCATTTGTAACATAAAAGCTTTCAGACTGTTAGAAACAAACCCCATTATACAGTTACCAATGTAAGGCAAAAGAGTCATTAAACAAAGTTAAAATATAATCAAAATCAAAAGTCACATTATGTTCATAGTTAAGGTACAATGTGTTATACCAGTCCATTTTAGGATTGTTAGATGTCATCAGATCAAGAAGAGGTGTCACATATGATTGTTGCTGGTGAAGGAATTCACAGAGTTGAAGAAGAAAGTCCTTTCCTTGAAACACAGAAACCCACCATGGGAAGCTTTCAACTAATGAAAAAGGGAGTGCTGCACAGACCCAGCAATCAGACACAGACAATTCTACTCTCCTGCCTTTGTGACCAGTGACAAGCATTTATGAGCTGCCTGGTTGGAACAATCCATATGGCAAAGTATAAATGAAATACTGAATGAAGAAAGCCAGGTCTTCAGACACAGCATAGTTTGCTGTAGATACCTATGGCATGCCACGGATGAATACTCTCTGTAGTAACTTACTCCAAAGTTGGGTGCTATCACTTTCTTCCTTCTCTGCCACCCATATCAGTTCCCTGTTGAGAGGTGAAGTCTATTTCTCTGCCTCTGTGAAGAGAGGTTAACAGGGGTTA